GCCTCGGGCCATTTCGGCACACCCCTCACGAGGATCGTGGCCCCATAGGGAGCTCCACCGAAGGCCCCCAGTGGCTGCGTTCGCATGGCGGCCTCGGGCCATTTCGGCACACCCCTCTCGAGGATCGTGGCCCCATAGGGAGCTCCACCGAAGGCCCCCAGTGGCTGCGTTCGCATGGCGGCCTCGGGCCATTTCGGCACACCCCTCACGAGGATCGTGGCCCCATAAGGGAGCTCCACCGAAGGCGCCAGTGGCAGGGTTCGCATGGCGGCCTCGGGCCATTTCGGCACACCCCTCACGAGGATCGTGGCCCCATAGGGAGCTCCACCGAAGGCGCCCAGTGGCAGGGTTCGCATGGCGGCCTCGGGCCATTTCGGCACACCCCTCACGAGGATCGTGGCCCCATAGGGAGCTCCACCGAAGGCCCCAGTGGCAGCGTTCGCATGGCGGCCTCGGGCCATTTCGGCACACCCCTCACGAGGATCGTGGCCCCATAGGGAGCTCCACCGAAGGCCCCAGTGGCTGCGTTCGCATGGCGGCCTCGGGCCATTTCGGCACACCCCTCACGAGGATCGTGGCCCCATAGGGAGCTCCACCGAAGGCTCCAGTGGCTGCGTTCGCATGGTGGCCCCGCTCCATTTCGGCGCACCCCTCTCGAGGACCGTGGCCCCATAGGGAGCTCCACCGAAGGCGCCAGTGGCAGGGTTCGCACGGCGGCCCCGGGCCATTTCGGCACATCCCTCACGAGGATCGTGGCCCCATAGGGAGCTCCACCGAAGGCTCCAGTGGCAGCGTTCGCATGGAGGCCCCGGGCCATTTCGGCACACCCCTCACGAGGATCGTGGCCCCATAGGGAGCTCCACCGAAGGCCCCAGTGGCTGCGTTCGCATGGCGGCCCCGGGCCATTTCGGCACACCTCTCACGAGGATCGTGGCCCCATAAGGGAGCTCCACCGAAGGCCCCAGTGACAGCGTTCGCATGGCGGCCCCGGGCCATTTCGGCACACCCCTCACGAGGATCGTGGCCCCATAGGGAGCTTCATCGAAGGCCCCAGTGGCTGCGTTCGCATGGCGGCCTCGGGCCATTTCGGCACACCCCTCACGAGGATCGTGGCCCCATAGGGAGCTCCACCGAAGGCCCCCAGTGGCTGCGTTCGCATGGCGGCCTCGGGCCATTTCGGCACACCCCTCATGAGGATCGTGGCCCCACAGGAGCTCCACCGAAGGCGCCAATGGCAGTCTCCCTCATGGCCCTCAGAACCCTTTCCTGCTTCTGCTCTTCGGTCAGGGGGACGCCATCCTCGTGGTCGTCGGCCGCGAAGACGGCCACAAACGTGTCCCTGAGCATGTCGGGCTCCGGCGGGAAGCCGTGGCCACATAGGGAGCGCGGGCGATGATGGTATTCGTCACAATTGTTGTATCCACAATTGCGTGATAATGAAAAAGTCCAAGGGCTACTTGAACACAATGCCAAAGATTACCGCGAAGCTCGAGCCCATCTTGAAATCGTGGAAAACGATGACAAGGGGGACGACATACCATTAGCACCGCAATCAGCCAGGTGATCAGCACGGTCATTTAGTACGGCACCGTTGTGAGAAACAACCTTGGTCCACGTAATATGATGATCGATGCTGTCAAGGATCTGCCGCGTCCTCAAGACAAGAGTCAAGTTGCGACGAGCACGGGCGTGTCTGCGAACAACGTCTGCAGCATATTGAGAATCAAACTCAACAACAAATGATGAAAGATGTACGGATTGAAGACGATGACGAAGATCGATAGCGGATAGGCCGGCACGC